ACCAAACTTGCGTTCAGAAGTAGATTTTATCAGCGTTTCAAACGGCAAATGCTTGTAAACGCGGCTAACCGCGTTTGGAAAATTTTTTAAGTCTTTTTAACTTTAATTTACAGATGCTGTCCAGAGCCTTTTTTCATCATGCAAAATGCATGCAAAGTGTTTTCCCGGTACTCAAATGGACCCAGCACACCATACTTTGAGGTTTCGCATGAAAGAAAATATGTTAGACACTGCTGCAATAATTTCTGCACAGAAATGAGCTGGAACACATTCAAACACCAAAAAAAACCCCCAGCTAATCTCAACAAATACTGCTCTCTCTGCTTCTGCTCTTTCTTTCTCTCAAAATATCTGAAATTGTTAATTTTTTTACTGTTTTTCAGTGCATTCTGGGCATTTGGGAAGGTCTCCTGAGGTTATCTTTAAAAAACACTTCTAAACGCAAACGCTCATAAACGAAATATGTAAACGCGGCTAAACAGAAGTTTTTAACCTACGTTTTCCAGCAGTTTAGTTTCCGCCGTTCAGAAGTGTCCCGTGTACATGGAGCCTTAAAGTGTCATTTTATAAGATGCTAAGTCCTAAAGCAAATGTTCAGTTCTTACCCATGTGTACACAAAATGAACCAAGAGCAATACTAATACACTAAAATCAATAAATTATCCTGTATTAACTGCGGATGATAAATGAGAGAAAGCAGAAAGAGCTATCAAGCTGTAAATTATGCCCAACCAAACAAGGGACAAAGATTAAGAGCTTGAGAGTGGTGGCAGCGCATGCTGGGATTTTTAGTTCCACTGCAGAAGAAAAGAAATATTCCCTTTTTGTGATGCAGATAGATTTTTGAGAAGCTGGGGAGGCAGCAACACTGTATTTGCAGAGCAAGGCTTTCATACTGACAAGCTGACAACTTTTTGTCGTTTCATCTTTTCATGACAAAGATTTTAGGCTTCTTAAATAATGTACAGAGCAATTCATTTTTTGTTTAGCCTAGTTGTCTGTATAATGGAATTTTAGAATAGTTGTATTATTTCTCTGTTTTTTTTTTTTTCTATTCTTAATATGGAAGACAAGCATATGTTATTATAAAATATTGAACTAGCATCTTGAGATATTGTGTAACATACAACAATCCCATCCTCCATGTGTGCATCCCTCTCTGCACAGGGCTGTATCTAGAGCTGGTCCTGTGATGTCAATGTGGGATGCTGTGCTCGCTCAGAGTCAGCGTGTAAGATGAGTGTGATGCAGGGGTGGTGGTGTCTCTGCTTTGCTGAGTTGAGAAGTTTGCTGCAGTATAAAAGCTGATGCTGTCCTCTATCTGCCGCAGTGCCCTGCATCTCCCTCACTGTGTGTGTGCATTAGATCCTGGACTGATCCTTTCATCTGTGCAGCTTTTTTCACCCTGTGCATATTCAAGTACTTTCACCTCTGAATTGCCAATCCCTTGGTTTTCTCTCATTTCATAATCACATCATATTTGTTTCATCACATTACTCTTTCTTGACTTTTTTGTATTTTCTTTTGAATTCCCTCTGTTTCCATAACCTCATCATGCTCAGCTTCAGCCTGGAACGCTCCATGGGTCCTGTCACTTATCGCAGATACCCAGGAGATGCCTACCTTCGGTCTAGCTCTGTCTCCCTCACCCACAGTGGCAGTAGCAGCTTCCAGTCCCAAAGTCGGAGTCGACGGAGTGGCCTTTCCTACAGTGAAAGTCCTGAACCCACAAATGGGCCAAGGGATGAAAAAGAGGCCTTGCAGGGGCTGAATGACAGGTTTGCTGGCTATATAGAGAAGGTGCGGAGACTGGAAGAACAAAATGACAGCTTACAACAAGAAGCAAATGAACTTCGAAAGCAGCAGGCTGGTATCTCTGCCATCGGGCAGTTATATGAAAGGGAGATCCGAGACATGCGTAATCAGCTCCTGAAAATCAACTCTGAAAATGGTCAAGAACAGCTGGAAAAAGATCGCCTAAGTGAGGATATTGAGATGCTAAGAATGAAAGGACAAGAAGAGGAAAGACTGAAGGAGGAAGCTTTGGCTGCTGAGAGGACACTGAGGCAGTACCTGCAGGAGTGCAGCCTAGAAAGTGAGCAGATTGGAAGAAAGGTGCAAGCTTTGCAAGATGAGGTCACTCATTTGAGCACAAATCACCAGGAGGATGTTGAAGACCTTCTTAGCCAGATACAAGGTAGCCAAATCACAACTCAGCAACTGGGAGAGCTGCCTGGTCTGGACCTGGCTTCTGCCCCTAAAAGAGATAAGAGCTCAACTAGAAGGCCACATAGGCAGAAACAACATGCAGACTCATGAATGGTTCAAAGGTGAGTGAGATGGGGGGAAAAGACAAAATTTAGCATGAGCAATTTGTAAATTGCAGACACTAACCTCTATTTGGCTATCTCTTGTAACTCTCATAACTTAGGTTTCTCAATTACACAGGTTGGAGAGAGAGCCTTCACTAGAAATAAAACCTGCATGTTATATCTTCTCTTGAGCTTCTCTTTGCTTCTGTCATATGATTCAGCTCAAAACTTCCAACATGGTTCCTAGAAAATGAATGCAAACCTGCTCAATTGTACAGAATCATTCACATTTACTGTCTATATGAACTGAACTTGTGATATAAAAACTTCCTTTAGTGGTGATAAAGGCATCCACATACTACAAATGGGTTGATGCCTTCAGGCTATGAAGAGGTTACTTTTTCGCAGATGAAATTCCTGAGTCATGGTTAGGTTCTATATTGGTGCCTGCCCCTCCCCTTGATCTTCTCTTGTGCAGCAATAGGATGAAGGTCCTAATCTTGCGTCATAAAAAGAAACAGCAAATCCTGTAATTGATGCAAGTGTTTTCATCTAGCAGATATGTGCAATATACTAAATCTGCTAACTGCATTATGTCAGAGATGATATCAATGGTGAGATAAAACTGGCTGTTATTTCTAGCGTCATGGTAGACAAAAATAGAAACAAATGAAGATCTATACAAGTATAGCAGTGAGATGTACCTTGGGATGCTGATGATATTCCTAGGAAGCAGTTCTGCAGTGCAGCGTCACAGCATCATTCAGTCATGTGCTATGGCACTTGTCAGGACAGTAATGAATATGCATATGCGCTGTATTGGAACTCTTCTTTGACTTGCCTGTACATTATAGCACTGAATCAGGGGGTTCAGCTCTAGATTAGAACAGCATAATTCCCTTGAATTACATAGTTATAGTACTTAAATTCTATACGAATCCACAATATTTACAGCAATCCTGTTCAGGTCATTGAAGTTCTGCTTCATTCCACTAGCAGGGGTTAAATACTTGCACACTTTTCACAGGACAGACCTTCTCAAATTAAAAAGAGTGCAGCCAACAAGACATCAAGGGAGGCCACAGGTCTAACGTAAAACTTATCAGGGAAAGGAACAAGGATTTAATAAGTGGAAAAAAACCTAGCAAAAAAAGTTAAATTATGTTTTGATTGCTGACAGCTTTACAAAATCAAGTGTAGCACAAGGATGGTGGTCAGGCCTCTATTGTACGGTGTTGTGTGAAGCTTGAAGGCAAAGAGAGAAGAGCCCTTAAAGTGGTACTAAATGATATTCTTAATCTACAAAAATAATTCATACACATCCACTACTTAATGGCCTTGTAGTCTATTTTTCATAAAATTGTTTCTTAGTGATTTTGGCCCCCATGAAACATCCTCTTTGAGCTCTCGAAATTCTCCCTAACTTCTGTTTGTTTGGAATGAGCAGTGCACGTCAATTGTGGTCATGTGCACTGCTCTATGAACAAATTCCATAGTACATAGTACCTAGTTCAAATCCTGAGCAAGCAAGAGAAGGTGACTGCATTCCTACATACAGTGGGACCATGGAGAACAAACGTAGCCACCCTCTAACAGGAAGTCAGATCACAGCAGCAAAAGAAAAAAAAGAAATGTGGAGATTTGGAGGAGACCAAGAGCAATAGAAAATACCTTGTTAAGTTAAGAATACATACTTGAATAGATTCGTTTTAAAATAATAAAACCAAAGTTTAGTGTCACTTTAAAGGTTTGGGGCTTTTCTATTTTACCACAATTGTCCCAAAAATGTACATCTCTGTGGAATTATATTGTTTAAGAGCTTGTCATTCTGGTGCGCTAGGATATTGGGTGCGGCATGGGAAGATTGGGTTTGGAGACTGCTAATACCAGTACCAAAGGGGTGATGTGAAATTTATGTTATATCTTGTTATAGCTTCATTTAGCCAAAGGCAAATGCATTTTTAAAGTGGTCTTCTTGGCACTTTGATTTAAAACAGCGTGCTATAACAATTTTATTTCCTTTCAAGTATATTATAAATGTTTGATGGAAAGAGCTAATAGGCCGGAAGGGATGGGAGGGGGTGCAGCCAATTTGAAGGGATTTTGTTACATCTCTTTTTTGCTGACGCATGACAGCAGATATGATTCAGCAATATTTCTCAAGGGTATAACAAAAACCATAGCATCCCTATGCAGCTCTTTGGCATTAATGGATTGTTTCCTCTCCTGACTCCACCTACCCTGGCGAGTTCCAGAGACTCTTGCTATTACTGGTACTTATATGGAACAGACATCTTTTTAATTTACATTCATTATCAGTGGCACCTTATGGTATTATCAGGTGCCTTACCCTATGTTTTTTTTTCTTTTGCTATTTATAATATTGTTAATGATGATGACATGATCACCATCAAGAGAATAAAAACATAGGTTGGTAACCAGCAGTAAGTAAACCAATACAAGTGGCAGTGGGGAAATTGACACCAAAGCTGGGTGAAGCCCAGTTTAATGGGAGCATAAAAGCCTTGTACCCTGTACTGCCAACTGACACAGGGGGTATTTTTGTGGCTATATGCACTCTAACATGCACTATATTGCCAAAAGTATTGGGACACCCCTCCAAATCATTGCATTCAGGTGTTCCAATTACCTCCATGGACACAGGTGTATAAAATCAAGCACCTAGGCATGCAGACTGCTTCTACAAACATTTGTGAAAGAATGAGTCGCTCTCAGGAGCTTTGTGAATTCAAGCTTGGTACCGTGATAGGTTGCCACCTGTGCAATAAGTCCATTAATGAAATCTCCTTGCTACTAAATATTCCGCAGTCAACTGTTAGTGGTATTATAACAAAGTGGAAGGAACTGGGAATGGCAGCAACTCAGCCACGAAGTGGTAGGCCACGTAAAAAAAATGAAAGAGCAGGGTCAGCACATGCTGAAGTGCACAGTGCGCAGAAGTTGCCAACTGTCTGCAGAGTCAATAGCTAAAGACTTCCAAACTTCATGTGGCCTTCAGATTAGCACAGCAGTGCGTTGAGAGCTTCATGGAATGGGTTTCCATAGCCAAGCAGCTGTATCCAAGCCTTACATCACCAAGTGCAATGCAAAACGTCGGATGCAGTAGTGTAAAGCACGCCGCCACTGGACTGTAGAGCAATGGAGACACGTCCTCTGAAATGACTAATCACACTTCTCTGTCTGGCAATCAGATGGAAGTGTCTGGGTTTGGCGGTTGCCAGGGCAACGGTACTTGCCTGTTTGCATTGTGCCAAGTGTAACATTTGGTGGAGGGGGGATTATGGTGTGGGGTTGTTTTTCAGTGGTTGGGCTTGGCCCTTAGTTCCAGTGAGGGGAACTCTTAAGGTGTCAGCATGCCAAGACATTTTGGACTATTTCATGCTTCCAACTTTGTGGGAACAGTTTAGTGATGGCCCTTTCCTGTTCCAACATGACTGCGCACCAGTGCACAAAGCAAGGTCCATAAAGACATGGATGACCGAGTTTGGGGTGGAGGACCTTTACTGACCTGCTTTATTTACTGCCAGGCTGACTGTCAGTGTGCAGTGATCATGCTGCATAGAGATCCAAATACAGTCAGATGGGCAGGAATAAAGCTGTGTGCAGAGAAATGTCTGATGATTCACTATAATTCAGCACTTTGTTTTGTGCATTTATTTGTCTTCAGAAGAGGGAGAAGGTAGCTGATGGAGCTCTCAGTGCGTCCCTGCCTCTGTCCAGTGGTGGGGCAGAGTGTCCAGGGTTGGAGACAAGAGAGGGCTGCTGGGTTTGAGGGGTCACAACTGGAATCTGGGGGGGAATATCCCACCCCAGCAGCCCCCTAGATCCGGCCATGACATGGATGACCGAGTTTGGGGTGGAGGAACTTGACTGGCCTGCACAGAGTCCTGACCTCAACCTGATAGAACACCTTTGGGATGAATTCGAGCGGACAGCGCATCAGCGCCTGACCTCACAAATGCGCTTCTGGAAGAATGGTCAAACATTTCCATAGACACACTCCTAAACCTTGTGGACAGCCTTCCCAGAAGAGTTGAAGCTGTTATAGCTGCAAAGGGTGGGCCAGCTCAATATTGAACTCTACGGACTAAGACTGGGATGCCATTAAATATCATGTGCTTGTAAAGGCAGGCGTCCCTATACTTTTGGCAATATATGTGGCAATCCCTGAGATATATTTAAATGTGTCTAAATCCCAAGAACAAATTTTTTTCATATTTTCAGCTTATCAGGCTCTAGCTGTGGCGGCTATATTTGTTTTTCTTCTTCCCTTTATTTTCATCTGGTGATTCTGCCAGTATCACACGACCTGCACTACACTGGCAATGCTCACTCACCGTACTGTATCTATTGAGGAACAGCATTGTCAGTCTACGGCAAAACTACAGAATACTTTCTTGTTTAATTCTCTCTCTAACATAAAAGGAGGTGATCTGTAGTCCTAGCAGACTTCCTGACAACCCTGTTTGACATAAAACAGAAGAGTGCATAGGACAGCACTGGATTACTGGCAGGAGCAACAGATGTTTTTGCACTTATTGAACAGATATAACAAATTGTTTAAATATTAAATTTTGCTAACCAAAAAGTAGCAAAAAACGAGAGGTTCATTGGTAGGGTTTACAGATCAGCTATTTACCATATTGTTATAGCCAAGATGATGTTTCTCCCATTTATTTAAGGTATAAATCAGCAAAATACTAAATGGCAAATGTGTGTCGTTGCCATTCTATGTAATCTATATATTCTGTATTTATTTATTTATCTCATAATATTAATAAATAATTTACAGTGATTTACTAAATAATGATTTACAGTGAAGCTGGAGAAACTAAATGAGGCTTCCCATGTCAATACTCACGCCATGCGTTCTGCTAATGAAGAGATCACCAATTATCGTCACCAGTTACAGAGTCAGATCACGCAGTTGGAAATTCTCAAAGGATCCCAACAATCCCTGGAGTGTCAATGTATGGATCTAGAGGATCGCCACCAGGCAGAACTGGCATCTTACCAGGGTAGAACTTCTAGTTTGTACTTTTTCAGCCATGGTTATTCACAAATGTACTGTAAAAATTGATTTAAATTCAACAAACAAGGATCTGCATTTTCATCATTTTAAATGTTATTTTTATTAACATAGGAAGACCCACTATTTTTCTAGAAATCAATAGCTATAGAATTTGACAAGGCTGTAAAATGCAAAATATAATTTGGACTTGTAGCCATAAATGCAAAAACATAGGTTAGTATGTAATTATATAGAGTAAATTCTGCTTCAAATGTGCTATTAGGGCACTTCATTGAGTTTTGCTACACATGTACAAAACAGGTTGTTTTGGGCTTTGGTATATGATATCTATTATTATTATTATTATTATACAGTATTTATAAAGCGCCAATAGTTCGCTCAGCGCTGTACATTACAGAGGGGGACAGAACATGTGACAGAACAAATACCAATACAATGCAAAACATGAGGGGTTTGAGGGCCCTGCTCTTTCAAGCTTACAATCTAGGACAGGAGGAGCCTTGAAATGGTTTTTGCCTAAAATATGGGTCTTTATTAAACTCAGCCTGAGTTCACATATATGCGGTGCGGTATATCACATCTGATTCACACAGGAACCACACTGCATTCCTGTGCAAATCACATGCAATTTTGTGCGGTGCGATTGGAGCCATACATTTTGTTTGGCTCAAATCGCACCACACCCACACCAAAAACATGCAGGACCCTTTTTTTGGTGCGCACTAGAATCGGATCGCTGGGAATACTCACACCTTTGCAATCCGATTCTGCACATCGCACCTCATTTTGTGGACCGCTTTCGGGGTGTTGTAAACATACACACCCACAGCAGCTCGCATGAACGGGGTGCGATTCTGATGTGGTGCGGAATTTTGCACTGCATCAGTGTGAACCAGGGCTTAAAGTGGCATTAAACCCAAAAGCAAACATTTATCATATTGCAGCTTATCAATTCCTAAATGTGATGGCTGTATTAGTTTCCTTTTTATGCTTTCTTTCTTCTATTTTCAACTGGTGATCCAGCCAGTAGGTCTATTGTTTTTCAAAATAAAAGTTCTCTTGCAGTTACAGGGATGAGACAGACCATTTAACACTGGAAGGGGTGCCTAAAGTGGATCTTTAGTCAGAAAATTCTCTAGATCACTTCAGTTTTTCCCCTTTTGCATGTATAGCTATATAAAACATTAAAAATAATCATACTTTTTAAAATCAGTTTTGCCCAGCTCTGCACATACTTAGTTGCTCTCTATTTTTCGGCACTGTGTCCAAAATGTAGATGCTGATCTGCTGACAGCCTAAAGATTGACTGCTGTTCAGTGGCTTTGAGATTCAACAAAATGGCAGCTTCCAGCAAGAAGAAATGCTGGAAGCAAATTACATCACACACTAATTTTGGTAGCATAATTATTAATGTGGAATATATGTTGCTTGTTAAAGAACATTATTTTTTATCAAGTTGTTATGGGTAAAGTTCCACTTTAAAATTATCAGCTTTTATTTATTCATGTAAAACCTTTATCCCAAAAGGAAACAAAACTGTTTGCTGTAACTGATGATAAAGTATTAGCTAGTGTTCAGCTTCAATTTGTTACTGTAGTTAAATCTGCTAGTGCATCTAACCCCCCCCCCCCCCCAGACTGGCAATGCTGCTGTTCAAATCTGTCCTCTGTGCTCATTCATCCAAAGTGGTGTCTGTATATACAGGAGGTGTGTTACTGGCCAGATCATCAGGGGGAAACACAGGGAAAAAACCCCTAAAAAACCCTAATAATTTTAATAATGCACATCATCCTATGCAATCAAAATGTAACTAACAAAGGGTAGCCCCTACACTGTGAAGATAAGCTACCTATCTATCTATCTATCTATCTATCTATCTATCTATCTATCTATCTATCTATCTATCTATCTATCTATCTATCTATCTATCTATCTATCTGTCTATCTATCTGTATCTGTCTATCTGTCTGTCTGTCTGTCTGTCTGTCTGTCTGTCTGTCTGTCTGTCTGTGTCTGTCTGTCTGTCTGTCTGTCTATCTGTCTGTCTGTCTGTCTATCTATCTATCTATCTTTTTCATATTATCTGAAATGACCCTTTTTTAATATTAGCCTGATGAATGATGAAACCCCCTTGTGTATTATGGTTTTCTGAATATTTCTTTAAAAATCTTTTTTGTTTGCAACAGGACACTCTGCAACAACTGGAAAACGAGCTGAGAAACACTAAATGGGAAATGGCTGCACAGATTCGGGAATATCAAGATTTACTGAATGTTAAGATGGCCTTAGATATAGAGATTGCAGCCTACAGGTATAAAAGGGAGAACCTGGCTAGAACTAAATGGTATTAATATACTTTCAGTAAAAAAAATGACTCTTGAATCTGTTGCTGAAGATTTTATATGGATAATGTTGTAATTTTAACTACTTGTAAAGAAAAAGGTCATCTCTTGTTTTACAGGATGCTCAAATAAGTAAGTTTTATACCAACAGAGCTTTTTAGTTGAGCAGCTTCAGATTTGTTTCATGAAATTCAATAATGAAAATACATATTATAGGGAAAAAGGATATGGATTGTTAGATTAATAGTAATCTAGAGTAATCTAAAAACTGCTGTGTGTAGCCCTCCCCCCCCCCCCCCCCCACTTAACCAAGACTAATTTCGATCCAGCATTGTACCTGCGAGCAGCGGCTTTCTTTCTCCTCACTGGAGATCAAGGTGTCAGCAGGAGCCATTGCTTCTTGCCACTGTCAATCATGGCCAATGAGGAGAGAGGGGGAGGAGCTGAGCCACGCTGTGTGTGTTAATGGACACACAGCGCAGCTCGGGATCGAGACCACACAAGTGCCCCCATAGCAAGTAGCTTGCTATGGGGCAATTAGAAGGGGGAGAAGCCAGGAGTTCCAGCAGGGGACCCCAGAAGAGAAGGATTGGAGCTGTCCTGTGCAAAACTATTTCATAGAGCAGGTAAGTATAACATGTTTATTATTTAAATAAAAAATTAGAAGGAAAGACTTAACAATAAACCAACTTGCCCTGCGTATATTTTAGCATAAATTGCAATGTATTTATTTATTTCAGGTACTTATATAGCGCCGTCC